TGCATGCCTTTAATCCCAGAACTTGGGAGGCAGAGGCAGGTGGATCTCTGTGAGTTCAAGGCCAGCCTGGTCTACATAGTGGGCTCCAGGACAGCTGGGGCTACAAGAAGACCCTGTCTAAAAAAACCAAAAAAAAAAAAAAAAAGTAAATCAAATTCACAAGTAAATACTATTTGAAAGGAAAAGTATGTTAGGGGTATGTTATTTAAACAAAAGCTGAAAGATCATTTATTTTCATATGTATCAATATATCTCCTATGAAACTACACTGTACTGATATCACCTATGTCTACCAAACACGCACAATCTCAGAACCTGGAACCCGAAAATGCTAACAAGAATCTCTTTTCTATCTACGGATAAAAATATAAAATATGAGGGGCTGGAGAGATGGCTCAGTGGTTAAGAGCACTGACTGCTCTTGCAGAGGACCCCGGTTCGAGTCCCAGCACCTACATGGTGGCTATGAACAGTCCTTAACTCCAGTTCCAGAGGAATCTGAAGCTCTCTTCTGATCTCCGCGGCATTGAATGACACGGTGCACTCACATACATGCAGGCAATACACTCATACAAATAAAATAAAAATTAAAAAATTATATGAGGAAAATAATCAAAGCTAAAATGAAGAATATGTTATATATGAGAGACCTAAATATACTAAGTAGTATTTAGAATATCAACATGTTTTAAAATCAAATAAAGGGAAACACTGTCAGCAACTCACATGTTTGAGATCATTCTTGAACTGTTTAGGTTCATAGCCTCTGGAAATCTTCGGGGAGAACAGCACAGCTCCATGCATATGACTGACTAAAGATGTGACAGTCCTCCGACCCACACCACTGCGTCCGGCTAACAGAAGAGAGCCTCCAGGGAAACTCAGCACTCTGTCTATCCTAGACATGTATTCCAGAACTTCTTGGAAAAGCAAAATATCTAAATTCTGGTTATCTCGTCCATAATGAATAAGACCCTTAAAAAAGCACAGAGAAAAATTTATAATTACTGTAATCCCTAGTTACACGAAAATGTTACTTACCTAGAATAAAATATTATATTTTTGATACTTTTAAAGAAAAGGGATGAAGTTACTGCATGTTATCTCACAACCAAAATTCTACCAATGTAATAACCCAAATTTAAAGGAATATGAAAAACTGTTGTAATGTCAAATGAGTTTAAGGGTACACAAAATTGAGTTATTTATGGCTATCACTTCACTATGGATATCTATGGAGTAAAAAATAGCATGAAATTACAGGTTGATTACAAAATCTTTCAAATATCAAATAATATTCTTTGTTACAAATCAGTGAATACAGATCATGAAATAATTTCGGAACTCTAGAAAGTTAGTACCTACATAGTCTTTTTCTGAACTCTTGTTCTCTGGCACTGCTGCAAATGGATCAAGAGCCCAGATAGGTACTCCACCTTGCTAGGGACTGGAAGGCGGAATGCAGGGGGACAGAGCCACAAGCAGATACCACACATTCACAAAAGCCAACACTCCAAACTTCACAATACCGTTCCAAGTCAAGCAGTTTACCAGATCACAAAAAACACTTTTCCTAACATAGAAGGCATGCTAACTTTCAATATATTATCTTTTTAATAGCTTATTTTTACCTTATGTGTATGAGTGTAATGCCCTGCATGTATATAAGTGCACTCATGTTGTGAAATGCCCATGGAGGTCAGAAGAAGGCACAGATTCTCCTGGAACTAGAGTGAAGGATGGTTGTTAGCCACCATATGGGTGCTGTGATTCAAACCTGGGTCCTCTGAAAAGGAGCCGGTGTTCTCAACTGCTGAGCCATCTCTCCCAACCCTCAATATATTAATTTTTACAGAAATAATATGTCAGATTGCTTTTTCTTCCTCGCTAAAACTAAGAACAAGGAGACAGAAGAGAAAGGAGGAAGAGGAAAGAAAAAAGGGAAGAAGGGAAGGAGGGAGGGGATGGCAAAAAAGGGGGAAAGAGGAGAAACGCTACAGCACTTACTCTCAGTGGGATGACTGGGATTCTCTGGAGCGCACCCAATGAGTCTGACTCTCTGGGGACAGGACCCTGGAACCTGCCTGTTTTCCACTTGTCCACGTTATTGCAATACTGCGGTTTGACAATCTCCATTCTGGGGTTATTTCCCCATTAATATCAGGCCTTGTTGGTATTTCCAATGGCAATGCCTTTTTTCATATATATCTTAACAATTTTATATGTACCTATACATGTGCATCTAGTTATGTCTGTCAGAGTGGACCAAGTTTCCAAAGAGAAGGGTGAGTTTAGTCTGCTGAGATCATTCAGGTCTATGTACTCAAAATGTTCCCAATAAATGGCTTAGGTAACTACAATCATTGCCACATCTCACTCAAATATGTGACAGGTTACCTTTTTAATAACATCCTTGAGATCTGCAGAGTTCAGTTTGCCAAGTGGTTTTCCATGTGGAGGTAATCGTTGTCCCGGAGCTGCATTTGTTCCTGAAGTATGTCGGGCTCCCCACGTAACATAGAAAGTATCTGAGGAAAAGAATTTTTTGTTTGATAAGTATCATTAGTAATGAAAGAGCAACTACATTACTTAATATTTTTGGTTGCTCAGTGAAAATAAAACTCCAGAAATACAAAGTCAAATTGAATACATTAAAATAAACACTTTGAAGATCAAGAAAATTGGTTAAAGTACAAAGACCTCTCATTGTAATACCAACGTCTACCTGCACAGCGAGTATACTTCTGCTTCTTTCTCCCTAGATGCATTGGCTCCTTCCAACTCCCCTGTTCCCCTGTGTACTCAGAGTTTATCGCATTGTTGTTTTCCAGGACTGTGATGGTTAATACTGTCAACTTGAAGGGATTGGGATTGGGGGATTATGGGATTTTCTAGATTGGGTTAACTTGATGTAGAAAGACCTGAGTGTGAGCAGCAGCATCCCATGCGCTGGCTTCAGGATGGCAGAAAGGAGAAAGTGAGCAGAGCACCAGCATTCCCAGCTCTGCCTCCCCTGACTATGGATGCAATGTGACCAGCTCCACCAGGACACTCCTGCTGTGATGAACTGTACCTTCAACCTCTAAGCCGAAACAAACTCTTCCTTATGCTGCTTTCATGGGAATTTTGTCACAGCAATGAGGAAAAATAACTAATAAAGAAAATCTGCACATAACATTTATTAAATATAATTTACATAAACTGACAGACAAAACTTTCTTATTAAAGAACAGATTTATTGATATTCATCAAGGACCCTAACTTCTAAAGTAAAAGAAAATTAATAAGTAAATCATAGTCAGAAAGCAAAATCCCCCAAATTTCTCTTAAATTTATAGGCATAACACATGACCTTACAAGGAAAATTGACACAGCAGTTTACTGAACTCCCAGGGGAGTGGGAGAGGGTTGCAGTAAGTGTCTCCCTGGCCACAAGCTCAGTTCTCCCATCCCCCAACACCACAGCCACCTTTCTTCTGAGAACTCCGCCACCACATTCTTTCCTGTTACCATCACTATAAAGTTCATTCCAATGAAGCTTGTATGTGGGAATAACCTCAAAGTGCTACTCCACAAATCCACAGCTGTGGGTCATTGCCCAATGTGAGCCTGGAGGTTCTCCTTGATAGCTCCCTGCTTATCATGCCACAAGTCATGACTTCCTTTCTGCCTTCTACTTTTTTTATTTAAAGGGTTCCCACTAATTATATATCTTTTGTGGGTTAAATGATCTGCTATTTCTATACCCAGAAGTCTTTTACTACTTGCATCTGGTCAAGTTTCCTAAACTCTAGGCTGGTTCCATACTAGCTACTGCTTAAAAAACATAGAATTCACAAATTCATTAACTCAAGTTATTTATAGAGTACCTGTGTTTAAACATTGTACTTTCTGTTTCGAATAGGTGATGGTGTAAACACAATTCTCACCATCCGAGAAGACAAACTCTATGCATCTTTCAGAAAGTTACCCAAAAAGCTCTCAAACATTCAAATACCAAGAGAGTAAATATTTTAAGTAACCGGCATTAGTATAATCCCTGTCCTGTCACGACTGTTGACATGACTGACCACAGACTACTGCAGTAGCTGCCTGCTCTGCGATTCCTGCTCAGGAATATAGCATGTTCATTTCATGGTGTAGGAAACTGATAAAAGAAAGGCACTGCACAGTTAGTGTTACTTTAACAGTGTTGAGACTAGGCCTGAAGATGTAAGCAGGGGCTACCTGGGCAACTTAGTGAGGCCCTGTCTCATAAAAACAAATGAACAAAAGTGATCTGCACACTTATAACTTCTAAAAATAAAATTTAAACCCAAGCATAAATCTGAAATCCTATACAAGACTTACATGCTGAAAGCTGTCTGGCACACATGGAAAAAGCCAGAAAAATATCTAATCAATACATGGGTGAATTAATTGGACAGTTCTCAAAATAAGTACAACTGGTCAGTAACTGTATGAAATAAGATACAATACCTATCACCATCATAGAGAATACAAGTTAAAACTACCCTCAGACTCCATTTCTCCCAAGTCAGGACAGCTACAATCAAGAAACGAAGCACAGCAGATGCTGGAGAGAGTAGGGAAAGAACCCTTACCACTGCTGAGAGGAATGCAAACTGTGGCCACAGGGAAGCTGGTGTGGAGGGTCCTAAGAAACTAAAAGTAATGAACCTATGATCCAGCTTCAGCATACTTGACTATGGACACTCAAAGAACGTTAAGTCCACATGCACGTCACAGAGATGCCATCACCTCCACTCATACAGCCAAAACATGGAATCAGCCTACATTCTCAACAGCAGACAAAAATGATGATGTGTGTGTGCGTGTGTGTGTCTGTGTGTGTCTGTGCATGTACGTGTGTGGAGAAGGGGACTAACACAACAGTTGCGGAAGAGGAACAAGTGAGGATAATATGGGTTAAGATGTCATAGTGAAACCTGGTATTTTATTATACACTAATTTTCAAAGCATTGTTACAAAAACTTTTAATATTGTTTCAATGTAACGTTGTTAAACAAGAATTCGTCTCCACCTCTTTTACACCTAAAAGCTGCTACCTATCAAACACACTCGGAAAAGTTATATTAATTAAAACACTTCATGCTTCTTATAGTCACCACTGTAACCACTGACGTCATCCACTGGGGTGCAAATGCATCAGCAGCGGTCCTCAGTGAAAGCACTGATGCCAGGTGCTGTCATTCAAATACACGCTTCTTGAGGGTATTTTTGTGTAAGCAAAAACAAGTTTTTAAGAAACTAACATTGCACTATAAGAAAATCTTATGTGCCTTGATCTACTAAACCACTAAACTCTAGAAAATTCATACACTAAAAAAAGTGTTGATAGTGTCTAAAGACTAAAGAACTTTACGGGAAAGATACTACTGAGGTGAGGTCGGGACTGAGGACACGGCAGCTTCTAGAATAAAGATTCTCTCGGGGCCTGCATGCCTTCCTCAAAAGTAAGCCGACTCCCATCCATCACTGACTTCACATTTCACCTTGCTTTAAGTGTCTTCTGAACTTTTCTACTTCCAAATCTCAGGAAATATCTACAAAATTCTTCTGTCAATTTCAATAGGATTCCCACTTTGAGTATTTTCACTGATTTATAGTAATTATGGCCCTAGGACCAATGTCTCATCTGGAAATACACAAAACATAAATTGCATTCTGTAAAGTATTTTGAATATGTTTGTAGCCTTCTAGTCATCTTATTGGGAAACCTCTGTACTGAGCTCCTCATCAGAGGTCCTCTCGCTGACGTGCTTTGATTGCATGAACGGCTTCCACAGCAGTTTGTAACATGCAAATTGGTTGTAAAGTAGTCACAGCTCCAAATGCAACACCACTATTTAACCACTGACGTCAAAGTGGTTGACTGAACAAAGCTGGTTGGAGTTGGAAGAACACATAATGACATTACGGGTAGTGACAGGGAGAAGAATCTTCCTAACTAAGAAGAAGGTCATTGATCAAGTGAGGAATTTCCCAACAACCCTTTATGTTTCATACATAATCAGAGACTGAACTTTTAGTTTTCTGAGATGAGGTCTTGCTTCACAGCTGGCCTGGAGCTCCCCAGGCAGACCTCGTGCCCCACAGCCGGCCTGGAACTCGCCATGCAGACCAGGCTGACCTCAGATTTGTGCAATTCTCCTGCTTCTCCCTCTCAAGTTCTGGGATTACTGGAGTAACACCACATTCAGTGAAAATTCTACTAAAAAACAATTTTGTATTACAAAGATACAACAAAAGGCTTGTACTCACTTTATCAAGAAATTAAGTACATACTGTATTTTGTTTGGAATATAATTCTAGAACTTTAGAAATAATAATGGGGCATTCTCCCTTTCATATTAATACTAAAATCATTCAAAGTGTTGTTTGCTGAAACACTAAATCACACTACAAATAAGAAAAACAATTTCAAAATACTCATAATAACTGAATACTGACATGAACGACATCATATTACCTGCCATATTGTCTAGTATATCTGAGCCCCAGTCTCCTTGAAACACTGTTGTTAAAATGCTGTCAAACAGATGAAGTTCTTTCACACTAACGATTTTGTCCCGAAACAAGCGCCGGGCTTCATAGGCTACAATTTCCAGTACGTAATCTAACGGATGATTTGAGGATCCTAAAAACGGAAAAATTTTTCTGCAGTTGTTGTAAATCTTAAATTATTGTAAAATGACATAATATTAAAGACAAAGAGAAAGAATCTACATACCACAATTGTTGCAGCGAATAAAGAAATGAGAAAAAAGTTAAAATTCATTTCTCTTAATAAATTCTCATATTTTATGATTACTTAAGATCTACATTAAACACTACCTATAGTTGCCCAATAAAATCATTGGTTCTAAAGTGCATAAATAAATATGGTTAGACTATAAAAGAAAATAATTTTATCATTCCCAAGATCAAGTTTGAACACTGGTAACAGAGACAGTTTGGAAAAAGAAATATAATTATCATTCTTTTAATAGTAATAGTTAAACACAATAGTGTTATTTCACATTAATGTAAATATAGTTGTCACTTTTGAATACTATAATTACCATCACAATGGTTAGGTAATGTATCAATTATGAGTATGATTTATAGCATAAATGCGCATGTACACAAACATACTACCAAAACTTACCTCCTTCTAAATCATATCTGAATAAGCCAAGAACCCACTGGGTAAGAATGCAAGGCGTAAAGAAATAGTGACTATAATCATCAGCTGTGAACTTGGCCCGCACCTGCAAAGAGAGCAAGTACAAACAGGCGGTTTTCGAATGGCCTCATTCCACACCTTTTCCCACCATCCTAGACTCACAGGAAGGCCAATTCCTAGCTCCGAGTCAACCTGTTTAAATAGAACTGCTACTCTTAATTACCTCAGACATTTCTGTCCTGTGCATTTTGTCTAACTATTTTTGAGGCAGGGTCTCACACTGTGTAGCCCAGGCTGGCCTGTAATTCACTATGTAACAGCCCTGCCTGCCTGCCTTCATCTCACAGCAATCTTCTTGTCTTATAACCTAAACAGATTACAGGAATGAGCCACCTTGCCCAGCTATCTTCTAAATTTCTTAAAGTATCACTTTAAAAATGGTTCCTAGGTTCCAACAGACTGCCAACAGTGGATCAGCCATTCAAATAATGAAATTCTGCCATTGCAGGCAACATGGATAGAGGGAAACATGAAAAAGAAGCTAATTTAAACTTCATAAAATATGGTTGCAATTCTAAGCACTCACAGAACTTAGTAAAACCATGTTCTAATCATTTTCTAATGGTGAGAATCATAGACTACTTGGGGTTCAAGAAACCAGTGAATGAATCAAGAGGCTGCCTCTCAGTCATCTTACTTGTGACATATGGAGCCAATGTTCTTAAGTAATTTCTTATCTCCAACTTATCCTTCCCAACTTTTACCCAGTGTTCTAAAGAGCATCACTTCTTCTCTAACGGCACATACTGTTACCTTACCTAACAAAACTTTATCTTCAACCACTTTGTGAATCTCTAATCTTTCTAATTCAGATCAAATTTCACTTCCTCCTCAACAACTACCATAGACAGAATAGTAATTCAGTTTCTCCTCTGTACTCGTACTTTATAACCAGAACACACTGTTATTATGTCATCTGTAAAGCAACAAGAAAAGACACGACAGCAACACAAAGACTAGGATGGACGATAGTCCTTTTAGAATACTATTGACAGACCTGAGAACTGCAGACTTAATTTATGTATACCTGTTCATACACCTGTACCATAGAACCCGCTAAGAGGCAGATTTTTGACGAAGAACTCCAAACAGAATGATCCTTCAGATTTTTATGCAGAACTGCTTCCAAATATGCTCCATAGATGGTCTGTAATTGTTCTCTTTCAGGGTAACTAACAAACAGGAATATAAGAAAAAAAAAAGATGAAATAAGTTAATATCATAATCAACACTGGGAGTCTTAATAAAGAATTCTCCTAAAATTATTTAAAAACAAAAATTTGGGAAGCCATTCATCTTCATAAAAAAAGAAAAGAGGGAGGTGTTACATCAGAAAAGCACTCTGAATTAGCATAATCTTCACACAGGGTAGTAATTCAGCTCAGAACTATCAGAATAGAAATACAAAATTAGCCTAGTGCTCCCAAACCAAAATTAATTTCAACGTGGCTTTAGTGCCACAATAATATCTCAGAAAGCAAAATGTCCATAGGTGAGATGCAGTTAGCAAGAAGTTATAAAAGTAAGGATTAGTAAGGTAGAAATGCAATAGAAGATACAGCACCATGACCATAAGAGCCAGGAGTCCAAGTAGCAATAACGGATCACAGAGATGGGTAGCTATATTAGGGTTGATGCCATCACAATTAAAATGACTCCTCTCTCTACTGTTCAAGCTAAAAGCATCCTTTTAGTTATCTCCATAAAATTTAATGTTTGTTTTATGAAATACAACATTTAAGTCTAAAATGTATCACACTTTTATATATTCAAGGAAATTTAATCAGTACATTGAAGAAACATCTGTATTCATATTTACTGTGTCACTATCCACAATAGCCAAAAATGGAAAAAAAACTATGTATCCATCAACTGATGTGTGAATATGAATCAGCCATTCAAATAATGAAATTATGTCATTTCAGGCAACATAGATATAACTGGAAATCATTAGGTTCAGCAAAATAAGTCACACACAGAAATACAAATAGCATCTGTCACACAATCTTAAAAAAAGGCTCATCTTGCCAGGCGTGATGGCACGTGCGTTTAATCCCAGCACTCGGGAGGCAGAGGCAGGCTGATCTCTGTGAGTTCAAGGCCAGCCTGGTCTACATAGTGAGTTCCAGGACAGCTGGGGCTACAGGGAGACCCTGTCTCAAAAAGGCCAAAAAAAAAAAAAAAAAATGCTCATCTTAAACAACTTGGGAGTGGAACAGTCATTCCCAGAGACAGGGATCAGTAAGGGGTAGGAAGAGCTGGGGAAAGGTTAATCAGGGAAGCTAAGCTAAACAGAGAGAAAAGCCAGGAATTCTGGTATGCAGATGCACAGAGCAGGGCACCTGGAGGCAGCAACCCTGCACCGCACACTTCAGAAAGCTGAAGAAGGGACTCGTAAGGCTGAGGAACACCTCCGGACAGAGCACGTGACCAGCAGGACAGAGCCCCAGACCAATCACCACTACTGGAAAATAAGAAAGGAAGGCCTTCAACTGTTTCCATCCTAAAGAAACGATCATTTTTTTAATATATATATTTTTAAAATATTTATTTTTTTATTTTATGTGTATGCGTGTATTGCCTGCATGTAGGTAAGTGCACCCGTGTCGTACAATGCCCGTGGGAGACAGAAGAGGTTGTCGGATGCCCTAGAACTGGAGTTACGGACAGTTGTTAGCTGCCATGTGGGTGCTAGGATTTGAACCCGGGTCTTCTGCAAGAACAACCAGTGTTCTTAACCGCTGAGCCATCTCTCCAGCCCCCAGAAATGATAAATTTTAAGGAGCTATATTGTTAACTGATCTAAGCATTATGAGGCACATATATGTGTCAGAACATTCCATAGTAACACACTAATATGTACAATATTTATGTTACGTACTAATTAAAAAGTAAATAAAAATCCAATATACTACTTTAGCTCCTTATCTTGACATTTAAGAGGACAGAAGACACAAAACAGTTTTGCTTTATTTCCTTACATATTCCTAATGCATAGGATATTTTGTTTAAAGTCTTTATCATGCTAAACTACAGCCAAAACATTGGGAAGAGCAGGAAAAACATCATAGTTTAAATATTAGTAGTAGATACTCTGAATAAAATGCAATTGTGTATGATGCCTTTTCAAAATAAAAAATAATAATTTTACTAAGATACATACTCTACAGCACAAAGACGAACAATAGAAGTAAATCTGGTGGTCAGCTTGTGTCTTCCCAGTCTTGTTCCTGCTGACATAGAAGCTACAATTTGAATATTCTCCAGGCCAACCCATTCCAAGTTTTCATCATAAAATCCTTGATATGTCAACACCTAAATAAAAATAAATGTTTATAAAATGTTTTATGCTTTAGATTTTCTAATCAAAGTAAGATTAGGCACGAGTTACTTGTCTCCTTACTGTGACAAAATGACAGACAAAATCAACTTAAGGAAGATTTTCCAGCTCAAGCGGATGTAATCCCTCATACACGGAAGGGATGGCGGCAGGACAGAGACCAACTGCTGGTGACTGTGTCCAGCCAGGACACACAAAGAGATGCATGCTGCTGATCAGCTCCCTTTCTCTGTTCTTCTGCTAGTCAGGGGCTCCAGCCAATGACCAGGCTCCTCACACTTAGGATTGGTCTTCCCTCCTCAAGTAACCTAATCTAGAAAATCCTCACAGATATACCCAGAGATTTCTTTCTACAGTGATTCTAAATCTTAACTAGTTGACAAGATTAACTATCTCAGGTAGTGTTGCCTAAATTTTAATTATTTCCAGGTGTAACAATCATCCTTTACCTAACCAAGCATTTCAGACTGAAATAGCATTTTAAATTCTTACACCACCAGAAAACAGTGTTGTTCAACCCAGCATTAAACTAATCTTATCTGAATCATCCTCATTTTTAAAAAAGTTTTTCTCTGCATTAAACAATAAAACCCACATATTATTATAAATCTGCTAACAATTATCAAAAAATTATCAGGAGTCAGGAAATCATAGGGAAAACATTTCCAGTTCCTTTTAACTATGTTATCATACTGCAGCTACACGGTTGAGCTAAATAGATCCACATAATAAAGAAAATAAGAATTTAGAAGTGCTAATGTGACGTAAAGAACATTAAGGAAGAATTCTTCTCCGTGGAGCAAGAACCTGTAACAATGAACCCCAAAGGGCTAAAGGGGGAGGTCAACCCCAGAAAGGACAGATCACGACTGTCAGAGGCAAGCACACCAAACATCAAGCGCAAATGTCCAACTCCAGCTTCTGATTTGCCTGCTGTTTTAGGGGTGGGGGGAGGGTAATACTTGTAGAATAAAGGCATTAGTTCCCTTGTGTTCTTCTAAAGGGAGGAAGACCAACAAAGATAAGGCTCAGACATGTTGTCTTTCTTATAAATATAACATGTATGTAAATTTTCATGAAACATGACATATAAAAGTGACCCCAGAGAAGGAGAGCAGAAGTTTTATCTGTAAGAAAACCCAACAGTAATAGGCTGCTTCCAATACTACACAGACTCATCAAGCAGTGGGACTTACCTGCTGCAGGAAAGCTACCAAGGTGCTGGTCCCCCACTTATCAAGCTTGGGCAGATTGATGTCTTTTAAGTACAAAACAAGTCTTTCACAATCCTTTGGTCTGTATACACGACCAGTATTAGTGCTGATCACCATGCAAGTTTGGTTCAGTTTCTGCAGAAGATGCCGAGATGTAGTCTGAGCACTGCAGTGAATGGTGACAATCTCCGTGGAGCGGAGCTGAGAGAAGGCGAACCTGAGCAGCATCCTGCAAAAGACACGATGCTCGATTTTGAAAAAGAGAACGAGATATTTTCTATACTCGATACGGAATTGCTAGCTAATGAATACTTCAATTTCTAAATTATTTTTGATTATATGAATAGAGAAAATAAGAAATATGTAAATGGTTTCCATAGTTATCAGGTAACTAACTTTTGAAATTAAAAAAAAACATGCATTTTAAGGTATTCTTCAGATTCTTCTCACATATTTAGTTTTATAAAGTATATCAAATATATGAACTCAATTTCCCCATACCTGAAGGAAATATTTTAAGATCCCCCAGGGGAAAAAAAAAATTCCCTTGATTGTATAGAATTTGATTACTATTCTCAACAGAAATGTAAAACCAGCATTTCAGGAGAGGGAGAGATTTGTAAAACCTAAACAATTATGGCACTAAAAATAGTTGGATCTCACTTGGCTAGATGTTATTATTAACAAGAGAACTAAATTCAACCTTTACATTTCATAACAAAAGCATACAGTAATTCATAAGTACATCTAAGGTATTCAATTTTTGTTGTGATTTTATGCATAGAATCTTTATAAAACTGTATTATCAGATTGCATAACCTAGCAGACAAAAGTCTCCACAGTAATTAAAGAAAAAAAAAAAAACGGAGTCTGACAATGAACTTTCTTCCATGAAAGTATAAATTTTTTAATCAAAAGAAATGGCACAGAAGTTGTCAAATTATTGGGGTGAAGAGACAAAGTCACAGTATGAATCTCTGGTGACATATTCTTACCCTTTGCCACATCCTTCTGGTCCTATGAGAAGAAATGGCTGCTTAGTGTCAGAACTTAACCATGGTTTGAAATAATCTAGACCTCGCTGCATATCAGGAGTTTGAATAACTGGAAGAGTTTGGCCATTACTGAAGTCATCAGCAGTCAGGTTTTCTGGCTTCTTCAGCACATACGATGCTAGCAGCCCCCTGTCTGCGTCATAGTAAGTGTCCATTGGCTTGTGAGGGTCTGGAGGAGATTCTTGTGCCCAATTAAACACCTTAGTAGAAAAAAGTTGTAATAAGTTTGTACATACTGCAAATGAAGCATATAATTTTTTTCAGTTCTTCAAAGTAATTATCTCCATAGCAAAGCATCTTCTTTAAAAAAAAAAAAAAGGTTATGAGGAGCTGGAGATGGTTCAGAGGTGAAGAGCACTGGCTGCTCTTACAGAAGACTTGATTCTACTCCCAGCACCCACATGCTGGCAACAACCATCCATAGCTCCAGTTCGGGGATCTGACACCCTCTTCCTCGGGCACTGCATGCACACGCTGCACTTACATTCATGCAGGCCTAACACTCATACACGTAAAAATTTTTAATGCAAAAATGAATAAATCAAAAAAAGTTTACACTACACTACTTATGCACAAACTACTTTGTAATTAAAATAGTATTTTACCTCTACGTGATCTAAGGTGAAAATAATATCTATGCAGATTACCAACTTGGCGGATATTTATAGGCCAACGTGTAACACAGATCCAACTTCAAGTGGCATTCTTGTGAGCACTAACCACAAATCTCAGAGCAGAGAAGGGCTAGGCCTTTATTCCCCCAACACATCCCAGTACCGCCCACTCCGCAGTCACTGCCCAGTCAAGAGTCACCCCATATCACTCCAGAGCTACTCTCCTGTACACTGAAGCTGTAATTTGTGCAAGAGGGAGCTTCAAAGCAGAATGGTGCTAAGGAGAAGCATCTGGTAACAGAAGCAACAGGACAAACAGCAGTGGAAAAGCAAACACAATAAAGTAACAGACCACAACATGATGCAGCTGCAAATGGAAGCAGATTGAAACAGCTGGAACCAGTTGGAACGAGTCCACAAGATAATTAATGCTTAATCATTTCAAAAGGAAGAAAATTCCTTATGACATAGAAATCAACTTTCTAACCAATTGGCTCAAATACAATCTTTACATATATTAATGATTTCATAATCACTAACTCATGCTAACATTCTCAGTTGCTAAATCTATTTTAAAGGACGGTTTTTACGGCCTGGAGAAATGGCTCTGTGGTTAAGAGCACTGACTGCTCTTGCAGAGGACCCGGGTTCGATTCCCAGCACCCACATGGCAGCTACAAACAGTCCTTAACTCAAGTTCCAGGGGAATCCAAAGCCCTCGTCTGACCTCCATGGCATTGCACAACATAGGTGCACTCACATACATGCAGGCAATACACTCATACACATAAGATAAAAATAATAAAATGCTTTTTAAAAAAGGATGATTTAAAAAAACTATATTATAAATTAAAACTAAATAAAACAAAGCTTTATTCATACAGCTAAAAAACTGCAAGTGTATCTTAGACTTATACACCAAAATTCAGTCAATTACAAAACATTGTAAAAATTTTAATATTAAATATCACACAGTTGATAATAAGAAAAATTGAATATATATGCACAAACATATACAAAGCCATATAGATATATAGGGGTATTATTAGTCTACTTAATGCATAAATTCAAAACCTAAAAGTTCCATACATTTAATTACAAATCACTGTATGTTGACAGTTAAGGTTCAAAAAGAGCTAAAGAATATGATATTGAATACCACTTTAAAATATTCATTACCTCCTTGGTAAATTCCAGGCGTGATTTCATATTCAGATTTCCACCCAGACCTCTTATGAGACTAATAATAAACTGGTCATGATCTCTGCATCCATGCAGGTGAGATAAACCATTCATCACCATCCCAACCAAACTTGTTTCTACCACATAGTCATTCTGTTGATTAAAATTCATGGAATAAAAATATCAATAACAAATACCACCAAATTTAGAAACATACAATTGGCATTCATATATCATTTCTGAAATGGTGTTTTATTCCACTCATTGCAATACCAAGTATGGATTTTGTTCAATTTATATATGTACTTTAAAAAGACAAAATAGAAGACCCACAGGCCTCTCTCCGACCCACAGGCCTCTATCCGGGTTAAGTCCATCATGCCCTCCGCACCTCAAATCCCCAGCCTCATTCACCCTCCCATCTCCCCAACTGGTCTCTCCTCCTAGCCTGGGTCCTGTCCCATTCCTTGTGTTGGGGCCCCATACACCTGGGAAACCACCACTGCTTCCTGATCCTTTGTATCCAGACCAACTCACTGCCTTCTCTGGTCCACAGGAGTCCTCTGGGCCTGACCTCGCCCTCACCTCCCTCTACTTCCCTGGGCCTGCACAACCTACCAGCCTCTTTCCAGGACGCTGTGGCTGACCTTTCTTCCTCCTGATCCTTTGTACCCAGACCAACCCAGTTCCTCAGTGCAGTCCCCAGGAGCCCTTGGGGCTGCTTCCTGCCCCCATCTACCTTTGCATCTCTGGGTGGTACAGCCACCAGCTGCCCTAGACCAGCATCTTTCCTGGGCCCGGCTCCCAGGCCAGTCCAACACCCAAATTCCTGAGGCCAAATCTTTCCCGGAGGGACCCAGACCTTAGGAGAAAGCTGAGAGCATCTGATCCTCATCTGACTTGGGCCTCTGTGGGAACTCCTGAAGACAAAAGCAATCTGGCCACTCCAATATAATATCAAAAGAGAGAACCGGAAACTTAGACAAACCAGCTTTTCATGCCCCAAAAA